GTGCGCTTGGGCTCACATTGTCCAAGTAGACGGCCGCCGCAACGGCCGTGCGTATACCGCTTTCGTTGTTCTATCATAACATAAAAGTGTTTATAGATGAAGTGTTGAACTAAAGTGTTTTGAGAATTGAAACGGTAACATCAGTGCGCAGGATTGACGTAAAGATTATTCGATTCTTTGTTGTGTTGTTAGTTGCAGCGTATCTTGATATAAATATTATAAACAAATTGCTAACGCAATAATACATGGCTATAAACATCTCTAAAGATGCGTTTTATAGTTTTGAGTAATATTTAGTTCTTAAGATCAAAATAAAGAAATAAATTCGACCACAGAAAGGTTTGATGCATAATTGAAGACCTAGGCAACTATGAGAAAATAAATTTATGTTCAAAATTAATATTATCAGACAGCTAGATGTAAAAAGGTTTCTATTTACATATAGTATTTCCACAATCTCATGTCACATCGAAAGAGCTCCGTATAATAATGCACTTTATTACTCGAGACGATGCAGGTAACCATTATTTTAATAACAACTGTTGTGCACATAAACGATTGCGATCATGCCTAAGGGTATCACGATGCTACAGTGGAAATTTGATCTCTGTGTTATTGGGTCAAAACGCGACTCTATGAACGTCTTGTTCTATGGAAGTATGTCTTCAAACGCGTATGTCTTATAAGAATAATAGTTTTTGCATCAAGTTGTAATTTTGTCTTAGGCGATAAGATTATAGATTTATACTCTATTATTTGATGGAAATTAAAACGGAGTATGTAGTTATTACGTTAAAACTTTTTAGAATACCCTTTCCTTAATAAAAGTTGTTTTTTTATTTTGTTCTGAATTATAAAAGGACTAAGCTTCTGTGCATAAAACTAATATCTTCCTTATTCAAAAATACTTCAATGGGCTGACGCTTTTGATGTTTTTGGGTATTAGACTTACCAAAAGAGTTTTGAACAAAAACTAAATAAAAGAATACCAAATTCATTTCATTGCTGTGTCCCCATGGTACTATACACTATTAATCTTGAATTGAACGAATCTTTAGTTTTAGCGTGAAATGCTTTTTATTTATTGCTTTCGAAGAAAGATATAATAGGTAACTATAAAAAAAGTATAATAGGTATATTGATAAAATGCGTCGCCAAGTGTTTCTCAGAATATTTACATTGCATATAGTTTCGTTCAACATAAAAAGTTCTTCGAAGTAGTAAACACATCCTGCAGACATCAACTTAGCTTCACAACAGAACACATGTTTGGTATTTAATACATTAACTATAATTGAATTTAAATATGACCAGACTTAAAAAGATTGTAGAAATACAGTGATAAATAATGAATCCACTATTGATGTCCAATAAACTTATCAAGATAATATACATAAGTTAAACAAAAGTGCATATTTCAAGATTTTTTTCATTTCCGTCTATTAACAAAATTTCGTTATTCTATTTGACTCTCTGTCTTAAGCTGTAAAACCGTGAAAATATCGATGTTAATAATAAAAAACATAGAACTCATATAGTTGTTAAGAGGCTTAAAATTATTACCAATTTATTAACCTGCATTAAGTGAAGAACACAGTTCGACAGAGCACTTTTTACTGTCAGCTGTTAATTCCGGTTGTTACAGAAGATAATCGCTTGCATTTAGTTTCTTAATAAAACTGACCTTGTCTTACTGATTCAGTCTTGACGTTGTGTTGGGAACAATCACTATTATCTGACTGTATATGTATTATGTATACTATATTTTACGTTGCTGCCTCAATTTTAAATGAAAATAATAGTAATTATTGAAACTCGGAAATTACTAGATATTTTAATATTAAATCACACATTTAATATGAAGAATTTAAATGTCGGCTATTATATGGAAATTGCGTGGACATATTTCATCTCTTTACTATTTTCTATCTGTAACTGTGCAGTATGTACTAACTCTATTGTCTAACTTTCTTTGCCCTCAGTCACAAACAACTAAGCGGTCGAGAAATTAAATAACATGTGTATTTTATGTCTGTGTAAGAAAATTGTGACACTAATGTGTCTATTAAATTTAAATAATACCTTTAATAATGTCATGAAATGACTTAATAGTTTACACGTTGTTGTTTTGATTTCAAGTCACGAATAACAATAACAAGTAAAGTATTGGAAGGTTTTACATATATTATAATTTATAATGCTATAAGGTTTTCTATTATGAGTACTAATTATTTGAACAAACGCTAACAATCTAACCATTCCGTATATTATAATTAATTTTTTCGTACTGTTGAACTGGTGAACGTGACTTAGTGCGGGTTCCTCATTTGGTATGCGCAGGCGCATCGCCTAGGAAGTGCAGTCATGTAACATTAAGGTCGGAAATACTACGCGAATGAATTGTTTTAAATCATTATCATAACCACATCGTTTTATTTGTCTATATCGTCTAATGCAAAATATATTTTCTCTCTATTTTTTATCAACTTAAAATATTTTATTGTATTTAAAAGTATAACAGTAATAGATTTTTAATATATTAACTATTGCTTTGTTCATTGATTCATAACTATAAATACTATAACGATTTACTTGCTTACAACAGATTTAAAGTATTAAAGAGCTCATTTTATTAATATCACTTTCTGATAACGGTAGATTTTACTGCAAACGTCATGGCTAAGAAGTAATTAAAACGGTCCTCGAAAACGGCATAGCTCTTAACTGTAACCTCGGAAATTTCGGTAAAAAAATGGCAGGTGTTGAATTGACGACTATATCAAAACAAGACGTGCCCAGGTCAACGCCCTCAAAACAAATTAGCCGGTTGTGAAGTGTGTCAAAATTATATGCTATTTGATGTTGTATAGAATAAATAATAAACGTCTAATGAGATTTTTTTTTCTATTTGAATTTTATGAAGATTAATGATTCCAATAACGTTCGATTTAGAAAGTGAAAGAGCATAATCTTATGTGATCCATCATTACAATAAGGAGACTATTAACATTAAAAAAATATCATGTAGGTATTATAAACAATGATTAGAAAGTCAAATCCATGTTTACCGGAATAAATGATGTGACCTGTCACATATTCTGACACTCAATATTATAAGATAAATATTACACAAGGATAACAAGGCTGATGACACTAAACGCGAGAACAAGTTTCCATAAAATTGTCCATGTGTTTTTATTGTTTGCATCAGATTGGAATACCAGAACCACCGTTAAATGTGAACGTTCTGATAGCGGAAACCGCAGGTCTCATTCATTACGATCACAATGGCAGCATTTTAGACGTTTATTAACCGTAGCCTGTATAAAATGAATAGATAACTGTGTATACCAATATTTACAGGCTTACCTTTTGTTACGCTATTGTATAATTGCTCTAACAATAACTATTCAAATGAGTTTTTCCTTTGATTTTTATTTTATCTCAGTCTGGCTAAAATTGATTTTTTGAATTAGAATAATCGTCTGTTGACAATATCACACTGAAATATTATTAATTGTGCAAAAGAAAATCATGATTATCTCGAAAAGAAAAAAAAACGCAAAATATGAACTTAAATAAGGTATCTAAGAGTTACTGTTATTTAAGCTACTGTTGCGTTATTTGAATATGACAAATTTGTATTGATTAATATTAAACGGAATGTTAAAACAAGGCCACTTCGAATGACTAATCTTTTCGCTTACCTAACTTTATACGTCATAATGTTTTCAAAACAAATCTGTAATACTTATTGATTTTAGCATAGTTGAATTTAGTTTGTGTAGGAGATATTTTGTGGAAATATTAGTCAAAAGTAGACGTAATTTATAAACAATAACCATGATTTGTCCGTGTCGAATTTAATATGTATTCACACCCACTATCGGGCTTTCGAATTATTGGGTCAACGGTATACCGCTTGGTACAGCTAGATGATTATAAACCATTGTTGGTTTTCAATGTATTGTCGTTACTTTATCTGTTAATCTGTGAACTCATGTTTATAGATTGCGTGACATGTTTCGTTTTGGTTTGAAGCTTATAATAATTCAACTTTATCTTTTGAATAACATCGCATTGCATTGTATGTACATAATTGAAGATTTGTCATTCATTCCTTAGGAAGCAGATGTTTTCTATATTAGTACCTACTCAATACAAGCTAGGTATTAGCAATAATTCGTCATGCACTTAAATAAATTTGAAATATATATAGTTATACTTTCAAAAAAATTTCTTTAAGAAAACGTTGATACTACAGTTGACCTTGTATATAATATAATTTAAAATCATTAACTTTATTGGCTAAAAATGTACAGCTCTTATTTAGTGCTTTATTTTAGTTTAACTTCCGTATAATTTATTGACGGATATAAAAAGCGTTTCCTTAAATTAAATGTTGACATTAAAGTAATTAAAAATCCTTCGAATACTTACATCGATATTTTTAATCTCTTTTTGTGGCTACTTATCGATATGTCTTTAGTGTTATAAATTATCAAGTAAAATATTTTTAATACGAGGTAGGAACTAAAAAATTCTTGAGAAGTTTCCTGATAGTTGTCTCAACGCCTTGTCAAACAGTTGTTAATTACATAATATTCAATAATATTCGATTCCAAAAAAAAAAAAAAAAAAATAAACGGAACGCGTAATATTTTTTCTTACATCGTACTAAAATAAAAATTCTATTTAAAAATATATGTGTGATAGCAGTTTTAGGATTTTATATCGTGTTGATAAAAAAAATTCGTGAAAATTAAATCAAAAGCGAGATTATAGCCTAATGTTAATGACACACACAAGGTCAAACGCCTTTATGAAATGTATCTATAAAATCAATATATAACGAATATCTTTACGACATTCATGTGTTATCATATATATGTAGTTGTGAAATAAGTGAATACTTTTTATAATACAGACGGCACTTTACGAGATATGTAAATAAAAATGCGAAAATGCGTATGCGACACATATTAATTGTCTACTGAAAAATGTGCAACAATAATAATAAAATGGGTAGCGGGAAGTTTGGACTGAGCGTTAAAAAGGAAAAAGTGAACATGACGGAGGCTAATAAGACTGAGTTTAGTGTTAAGGAAAAATGCCGCAAGTTAAAGAAGAAACTAACAAAGACTGAAAAAATGAAGACTGAAACGAATTCAAAGGAGAAGACTATATGGTGGAATCAGTGCAGCAGTTGTGAGTAAAAACAGGATAGATTTTTCTCTATATTAAATATAAATTTATTTTATATAGAAGCACTTAAAAGTATGACCAAGATTAAATTATAGTTATCACTACGTTTTGTAAATATTAGGAGGAAATTAATTCGGATTTAATAAAAGGTTACTTGTGTTATTGCAAGACAACTGGCCCTTGAAGGTCCGTCACTTGTTACGCTCTTTGAATGTACAATGAGGGGAAATTAGATCACCAAGGTTCTGACTTTTGAAATCAACCAAGTACCTCCTGGTATTCGACAATAATTGAGGGCGACACGACCTTTTACATTGCCTTCAAATTATTAACATGTGGGCCGTTCTAATATATTTTTCAACGCCCATTTTGCATACTTTATACTATACTTTTAAATGTTTAATATACTTTATTCGTAACTTAAACAGTTTAATATTAACTAAATGTATTGTAGACAAATAAATCTTACGAACGAGACTGGGATAATTAAACTGTAATAAAAGCGGCTTAATATAAAATTAATTACTATTTCATTTAATGGCTGGCATCTATTATTACAGCGGCTGGTTTATTGCAAATCTATATATATACACGTAAAAGTGTGTCAATGGAAAGCGCGAGAGAATCCCGTGAAATCAACGCGCTAACACGGCACCCCAGTCCACTTTCTAAACTAGCATTCGGTTTATGGTTCAGGAACTAGACCCGAGACTGCATGAAAGTTGTTTTGTTCGGACATTTCCTAGAAGATGATGATCCAACATTCAATAACGCTGCAATTCATATTGATATTTTACTTTAATATACATATATTGAGTGTTCCTAAATGATATTGCAATTTATAATCTCGAAAACAGAATAATATACTCCTACCAATAAACAGATTTATAAAAATAATACTGTATTCCATAAATATAACAGCGATGTCAACATAATAAGCATTAAATAAGAATAATAATTTTAATCGTCTTGCAATAAAATTGTTTCGTTAAAACTTAATTTTAATTTATTTACTCGGAAATTATTAAGTCACAATGTAAGTACAGAATAACTACGTCTCTTTTTCTTCGAAATTCTCTCTTTATTAGTAGCTCGCGATTGACAGTTAAGGTCGATAAGATGATCATTAGTATCGAAAGTATAAGTCTGGAAATAAATTTCTTAGTAATTGTTAATGTAGTCTTCCATTAACATATCGCCTTTTTTGGACGTGACAACAATTCTTATGATTTACTATTTTGGATTGTAAAAAGAAAAACGTAAAGAACTTCTTGTTGCCAACCGATCATAAATATGTGGAGTGATTGATTATTATTTATTTAAGACATGAATATAATTTAATATACATAAATTGTACATTCCACGTGTTTTTTTTATCGTTTTGATAAATGCAAAATAGTGAAATGCTTCAGACATACCTTGAAATAAATAATATTTTTATGAACGACTTTTCTTTAATTTTTATATCCGCTTATTTTCGTCGTTTAATATTGGTTGATATTTTTGTTGCAGTAAGCGAAATAGATCAATATCTATGGATGGTTGGAGGTTCCGCCGGTGCATTGGCACTAACTGGTGTCGCTGCAGCATCAGCCTTCTATCTCAGCACAAGGCCGAAACCAGAGAAGCCTTTAGTCACGTTACACGAACAAAGCCTCTTGGAGACGGTGAGTTTTAAAAGTTTGTTGTTAGTACTTTATACGGAATGTTTGTTGTAAATAAATTAAGTTCAAACTTAATCAATTGTACCGAATTCAATGAAAAAAAAAATATATAATCTTTCTTTGAATGTCTATCGGAAAGGTTTGTTGCAAAAATAATAAGAGGTAATGTGCAGATCAGAGATCCGATTACTGATATATAAAATAACAGGTGTCTTAATTATTTTTAAAAGGGCAATCACAAAGTACTTATGCTCAAGTAGCTTGCGTATAAGGAAGTAAAAATTAAGTAGTGTTTATTGGCATGTCGTCGTCATGAGTTGGCGGGTTTAGGTAAGAGATAAGGATTAAATAATGTAAGTGGCCATGTGATTATAATGTTAATAACCGATAAATAATGTTTTTCTTTGTCCGACTGATAAAAGTTTAATACGTTATAAAAGATTAATTATACCTTATTAATCATACTATTTAATGTAATAGAACTATTTCGTTTGATTTGTAGCTGTAGAGGTTCTAAACTTAGCTTTACTTTAAATGAATCCAATTATTAATAGAATAAAAGATTTTAAACGTTTATTAACAAGGAACAATTAAATTACAGTTAATAAAATTGTGAAGAAGTAAAATGTTTTTTGTAACCTTGAAAGCAAAATATTATAATTTACTTAACTCAAAAGGTTTTTTCTTAATGTCAGAGTAAAGGTCTGATCGGAATGCTCTTACAACCTGGAGCTGAGATTTTATATATCGATAAATAATAAAAATCGACTTGATGTATCGAATGCGGTTTTGACTATTCCTAAAACCGATGTATCAAAGTTCAATATGTCCTAAACTGTGATGCCGCTTTGAATTGGCAGAGCGCATCTTCGAGCGATATTTTTAACTCATTGTGCCAAGAGCTACCCAGCTTACTGCTCTCATGTCAGTATTCAGAATTCTAGCGAAAGTGACGAGTCCGTCTCTGACCTCAAGTTTTACAAAGATATTCAGACATTAAGTGATAGAAGTGAAGAATATAATTGACGTATAATACATTTCTCGCTGAAGACTAGATTTTACAAGACATAATAAGTGATTGCGCAATGAAGGACTAGTATATGTTTTTAATGTATAAAAGTTACTGTGAATAAGTGATATACAGTTTAAAATGGCGTGCTGCGACTGCTGTATCGGGGTTGCACCCATACGACCACCAATAAACCTCAACGAACAATCTGACTCTGTTAAAGTAAGGCGATGTGTTCAAACTATGTTAGTTTCGTCAACTATTAAGTACGGAATGTAATAATTTTACCGATATAATACTTATTCCGAAATATTTCTAAAATATGGAATGTACGTACCCTACAAAATATTGAAGCTTCTAAAAGAACTTTATTTAAGAAATCATTTGTTGCTCCCATAACTTTACATACGCTTTTACCCTACATACGGTTTTCATTATCAAAGTCAAATAATTTTGACCTTTGTATTAACCTTTGAAGATATAATGAAGATGAAGGTTATTTAAAAAAAACGCATTTAAAAAGAAGATTTGTTGTAATCTCGAGACATTGTTAATCGTGATGCGATTGTTGGCAGTCGTTCGTATAATTTAGAGATCAGATCATCGTAGGCTCAACGGCTTTCAACGAATTTTAATTTAGATGTTTTCTAGAGGTTTCGTTTATATAATTGGTCTCTAGAATTGGCCACGAATGATGTTTAGTAGCAAGATTCATTGAAGAATATGACGTACGCGAGACGTATTCATTAAAATTATATGATAATTACCTTGTAGTATCGACTGGCTCATAAAATTTTGTATATGGACATTTTTAGTTCTATTTATTTTTCTTAATATACATATTTAGATAGCAGCCTATATGAAATAAAGCTAGAGAAACAACACAGAAATATATCGACAATTCTTGTTTGCTATTTGGTATCTTTGTGGTAATACACTCAGAAGTCTGAGATTGTTCACATTGATTTACGAGTTTAGAGCTTATGATAAATGATGTAAAATCTCTCATGTATTATCCATGATGTATGACGACATATGGTACACAAAATATTCCTGCTATTATGCTAAACCTATCGTCGTAACGAGTCTTGTGAATTGTATGCAATAATATGTCATAGATATGACTGTACAAAATCGAGGCAAGAAAAGAAAAACATACATACATATGTACTTTGAAAGTTCAGCGTAATTTATTACTTATTCGTATAGGAATTTGTAGTAGGTCTAATAAAATCTATTATGTATGTATTTATTGCTTATTCTTAAACTCCATAATTTTAAAAGCCGATTTTATTTGGTTCAACCATAATTAGCACTGAAAAAAGTAAATGATAAAAAGAAATTAGGTATTAAAATTCACTAAAGAACGAACTCGTTGGAAATGTATATTATTGAATTTATTGATAAAAATTACAGATGTAGGAATAGATTATAATCTAATTATGAAAAGATAATTATCTTTCACGTGACAAATGAATATTGTTTACGAAATCTAGGACAACATAAAGAAGTACTTTAGAATATTGAATATTAAAATATTAAAAATATTTTCTATAAATCTTCTTAAAATTTAAATAGTAACATATAGTGACAGATTTTAAAATAAGAACAGGTACAGAAAAACGTTTTCTATGATTTATGCATGATTTTCTGAATCGGACGAAAAATCAAAATCGACACATCGATTTCAAACGTGAAAATACTAAAGTTTCATAAAATTAAGGTTAATGACCGTCTTGATGTAAAATATACTTTTAAAATACAATTGACAACTTAAAAAAAATCACATAGCAACAGGTCCGAAGTCACATGTTCGAACTTTGGATAAGCACGGTAACGGTTGACTTATGACATTTTTTAAATATTTGGCAAAAAGACCAGACTGTTCACGTTCGAGAGTCACGGGATATTAATGGATTTTTTATCATACAGTCTCAATACTAAGAATTATGATTAACTTTAAACTATCTATAAAGTAGCGGTTAGATTTAATAAAATTTAATTTGTGCGTTTTTAATATTTTTTGTAAAAACAATTGTTGTTAAAAAAATATATTAATATCAGTCGTCACTTGTTTTTATCGGTCTAATATTATTTAATCTGTTGTTTACATCTAGACCGGCGTTTGTTTTTAAATTATATTCTCTTATAATACATTTTTACCCCAATGATTATGAATCAACAGTCTTAGGATAACACCTTCTTTTTGAACCGCTTCGCAATATTGAAGAAAATTTTAAGTAGAAAATCCGCATTTTTTTTTTGTACATCGAATGACAAGCTCTACATAAGTAGATATAAATCTTGTGACATTCGATTTTTCTAAATCGAAGCAAAGAAACTGTTAATCGTGCCTACATACACGTACACACGTCATACAGGCTAAACCCACAACACACAGCCCTTGTTTGGCTTCGAACTGATTGTTGAAAGGTAGTAACAATTTTCTAAAATGATCGTTAACATTAAAATCTGATGTATCGGGAAGTCAATTAATAAAACTTCCGTTAACTACAAACGATTCAAACAACATTTTAATATTTATGATACACATAAACAAACGTCTTGTGACATATCTGGTTATCTGCCAATTGTAACATCAATGGCATTAACATCTGATGATTGATATTTTATAACAACATTTATAACAATGCTGACGAAAAACTTAATATTATTATTACGACCTGTTGATGAGTTGTTAGTTTGTCGAGTAACTTCGTTGTATCTAAATGATTAATAATAATTAGATAAAAAATATTAATTTCACAAATAATTTATGAATTTAAACTCTTAGAACTATTAAATGTAATTGGTAGTTACTTAAATTTTTTTATTTATTAATTTTGACCCAATATAAGTCTTCAAAATTTAACTTTATTAGGTGATACATTTAATGAAATATATAAATTTTATTTATTTGTCAGTGTTAATATATAAACAGTTATATATTTGAACCATAAATATAAAACTCAAACATGAATTCTTAATAATATAAATGTATTCTTAATAAACATACTTAATAAAAGATCGTTCAGCTACTACAGTGTCGTTGAAAAAAAAAGAAACATTTTCTTTCTTTATTATTTAGGAATAACTTATATTTTAAATGTTTAATTAAATACTGTCACTGGTATTACTCATAATCTTTCTAGGATTGTACGTAAAACTAAAAGCTTAGGCGACTGTCAATAATTACGACGCCATTAAATAAATTGATAATTCAGAGGAACTAAATATAACTATTGACTAATGCACAGCTTTCACTTGCAATGGAGGTTCCAAGTACTAGGAATTTATTTCTCTTTTAATGTTCTCTTATTTAGGATTTGGAGACGGCATGTCACTGTATGTTGTGAGGTATCAAATTCAAAGAAGAAAACTCCAACAATCCGGTCTGAGTGACATAGAATCTGAGTAGGATTTCCTGTCGAGTCAACAATTTCAAAAATAATTTTCAGAAAATAATTATTACGGGTTTCGAAAGCCAATACTTTAATATCTAGAATATTCTTTTTTTCTGACCGCTGCGCATTCCAAAACAAGAGTTTTATGTTTAACATATGATCGTCAGCGTACTTAACGATGGCTTTTTCACACAAACGAATGAAACATTTTGAAAAATTTTATATAAATAGTTCGACTCATCCTTATGGTCGAAGTGACGTTAAAAACCTGACATCTACAGATGAATAGTATTTTAATAGGAACTATGGAAGAGAAAGTGATAATTGAGAAATTTATATCTTATTAGGGCATAATATTAAACTTCCTCATTTTATTGTCATTTTCTTCGATGACTGATTGTTAATGTCGTTTCTCTTTTATGTAAGATCACAAGGAATACTTATAATGTTCTATACGAAATTATTTATTTTTAACCATTATATAAATCTGTTATAAATGACTGTATTTACTACTGCTATATGAGAACGTTATGCGGAAACATCATCGGCCAAACCACTCACAATGTCAAGTATTTCAGTTATGATTATTTTTAGATCCCAGAAAAGATTATACACGACCTTAAGGCATAAAAATTTTATAACTCTCTCATACATATATATAAAAAATATTAATATTATGCTCGCAAATGAAATGATCGTACGAGAAAATGGAATCATTTGGCCACTGCAGAAAAATTATCTCGGGTATTCTATGATAATCCAACAATTTTACTATTTACGTACCTAATGTTGGTTTAGTTTAGATAACAACGAGAGTAACAATTATAAATGATGTTTTATAATCATTACGTTCCTGTGGTTATTGAGATGTGATTTAAAAATACTTTAATAGTATTTTAAGTAGCGAAACCCACAGTGTGTGTTTTATCATCAACTATAAATACCCGGTCACCCAACCGCGCAACTGTCGCCGCTTTTCTTATTTTTCTTGGAGCGTTGAATTTCCCATTGACCTTGTATAATATAAATATTAATGGAACATGCACACAATTTCAAATTAATTATTTCGGTTCAATTTATTTCAAGTTTCTTATATATAAATATGAACGTTCAGTCTTTAAATAAATCGAAGTATAATTTACACTTGGACGAAACAACTATGAGGTGCACATAATTATGTAAGGAAATTAGGTTTAAATAAATTAATACATAGAAAATTTAAGGTTTGATGTTTAATTATTTTATAGTTTTAATGAAATATACAAAACTATAAATAAAATATATATATTTAAATTCGTACACAGAAATTCCCTTTCATGCCTTAATGACTTTGACATATTTTTTTTTGTCATAGAACTATTGCAAACTGACAAAAACGTACCGTACAGTTTAAGTGCTCTGCTCTTTAAAATATATTTGTATTCGATATATGTCAATGGGTTAACGTTGTGTTGTTTGCATAAATTTTTAGCTATTCTTCGTCGTCAAAAATAGTGAGTTACGTTAAGGAGAATCTGTTTATGATAAGATTGCAATTTCGACGAATACAACTTGCCATTTTCATATTATCGTTAAACAGATAACACGCGACTGCTAATCAACTCTATACACGGGTCAATGGACTCTTGTAAGATATTACTGACTCTAATGAACTAAATTATTTATAATTAATGTTAATTTCTTTTTGTTCAAGGGGCCTGAAATGGTGCGTGTTTCAAAGTTCTATAAAGAAGCGAAAAACGGCCGTTACCTGAGATATTTGCACGAAGACACTCGTACTTTGTATGAAACTTTTAGACGCGGTGTGAAAGAATCTAGTGAGTATAATATTTCATTCTATTCTTATGACTGCAACATGAGCAGGCAGGCATACATTATTTTAAAACCAACAACGTACACCTAACACTTCCGCTTATTTGCGATAAAAGCAATAATTTACTGCTTTTTTTCAAAAACATGCTTGTGAGTAATTTTTTCTTTTTATAGAGTCCTCTTAGATCAGAAATCTCTATACTACTGCATTGCAAAAGCTGTTAATGCGATGTTGAATACAACACTTTTAGTTGATAGCTACTGCAAATGAGACTTATAAAAATATTAATTTATAATCACGAATTTATATGTACATGTGTGCTTAAAATATACAATGTTTTCGAATTCCTTAGATAATGGCAACTGTCTCGGTTGGCGCGAGGGACCAAATAAACCTTATGTGTGGCAAACATACAATGAGACCCTGCTGCGTGCCAAGAACTTCGGCTCAGGTCTTATATGCCAAGGCCTTGTCCCGGGTCAGGGCACCTTTGTGGGTAAGTGACTTGCATGTTCTTAGAGTAATCCTCAGATTATATGTACATATCAAGAACTACCATGCAATTTAATAAGGAATAATTTTTAGGGATATACGCACAAAATTGCCCCGAATGGATTATGGCCGAACAAGCTGCATATTGTTATTCAATGGTTATAGTCCCACTGTATGATACCTTAGGAGCCAATGCATGTGCCTTTATTATTAACCAAAGTAAGTTGCTCACTTTGTGTTACTTAATAAATTGCTTAAACTGATTTCTAATATTTTTTAATGAAATTTCAGCCGAAATGTCCGTAGTTGTATGCGAAGACGATAAGAAAGCCAATCTTCTCCTGGACCAGTCGCCCCGGTGTTTGCGTAAACTGATCACGATAAAGGAAGTATCGCCGTCTACACATCAAAGGGCAAAGAGTCGTGGTGTTGAAATTATTAAGTTTAGTGATGTAGAGATACTAGGAGCGCAGAAAGATCACCCATGTGTTGTAAGTGCTAAGCTTACTAACTAGGCAAGTCAGCCTCTTAAGGAAACCATATATTATAACTATGGTATTAAAAGGAATGTATTCTTATAGCATATAATTTTTAAATTTTACGAGTATAAAATTGACTTTTTAAACTAATTTAATAAATATTGTCTGAAGTAAATGTTTTATATGTGTTTGGTATTTTCACTAAACTTACACTTTTAATTTTAATTACATGTCGTTTTAAGTAACGAAGTATTTAAAAGGTATACATCTTTATTTTATAAAACAATTATTTTTAGCCTCCAAAACCCGAAAATCTCTGCACAATCTGCTACACATCTGGCACGACTGGCATGCCGAAGGGAGTGATGCTGAGCCACGAAAACGTAGTCGCCTCGATGTGCAGTGTTACTATGCAACTAGGGGAACATCGCCCAACCAAAAATGATGTCATGATCTCCTTCCTACCACTCGCGCATATGCTCGAGCGGTGCTGTGAGGTACACATTATGTTATATTTATACCCACCGTTGCATTGTATGCATCATAATCGATTTTTCATTCTATACTCAATTACACTTTTATCTTCCATTTGACATTTCCTGAAGTGACATTACTTGGATTTTCAGAACGCTCTCTATATGGTAGGCGGAGCTGTAGGTTTCTACAGCGGTGATATCAGAAGATTAGGCGATGATCTCGCTGCGCTCAAACCAACCATGATGCCAGCTGTTCCCAGACTATTAAACAGATTATATGATAAGGCCCAAAATGAAATATCAAACTCTAAAATTAAAAAGTTACTATTCAACATGGCCTTATCAGCCAAGGAGTCTGAACTAAAGAGGTATTTTTGATACTTACATAGTTTTAGTATTTGTACTAATAGTTAAAAATTTTAAATTTGTTAAAATAAATTTCCTTCTGTGACCTTGACAAAATGAATGAACATTTCCTATCTACGGGATAAATGATCAGTAAACCTCTTAAAATAATAACAAGTTAATTTAGAATTTATTGCACTATTTATGATTTTATTAGTAATTATTCCTTTGGAACTTTTTCAGGGGTATAATCCGAGGCGATTCTATTTGGGACAAACTGGTATTCCGCAAAGTCCGCGAAGGTATGGGCGGGAGGCTACGTATTATAGTGGTGGGTTCAGCCCCGCTTGCTGGAAATGTTTTGACCTTCGCGAGATGCGCTCTTGGATGCCTGGTGAGTAACCACAAAATTTACATACGTTCAAGCTTACTGGTTTAAATCTCATATTGGTCATCGTTATGGAAGATTGTTAGTTAAGAAGACGAAAATAAATCGTAAGAAAATTGTTAATTCTTAATATTATTATTTCATAAGAATTCTTTAGATTTTAAAAAGTCTTTTAAAATATTCATTTCATACAGGTTGACGTTGTGGCCAATTCCATTCATCATGTCATATTGAAAGATTTACGCCTTTCCCTGTTATTATTTGTGTCAGGTTCCATTACGCATGATTTTCATTGTTTGTTTTGGAAGACTCCAAGGTTAAATATTATTGAAAATAAATAAATGTTATTTGTATTGGTATTTCTTAGACTACTGTAATGTACTGGCTAGTTTTGAATCCGCTTCATTGAGGTACCAGATTTTAAGTCGAAAAGTAGTAATTTCATTTTTACTCGTGCTACTGATTACTCGTATATTGATCAATTACTATGGAATATATGTAATTCGAAAAAAAATACTTTTGTCAAAAATAAAACTGCAGGAGAACACATGAGAAAATAGATTCTTTAAAATAATAAAGTATAAATTAATAAAATAGATAAACAAAAAATTATGTCAAGCAAGTATTACACCTATTAATTATTTGTTTATTTATTTGTTATATTGTGTATATATGTGTACGTCGGCCAAGAGATTTTAAAAATTTCGAAATAAACGAAAATAATATTCTAAGATGGTGGCGCCAAAGACTGCTAAATTTTAGATAACTCTTTCAAAAACTATACAAAATAAACAAGCGAATTGATTGTGAAGATTGAACTTTTAATAATAGTCATTGTATTATTTTTCCAGATCGTGGAAGGCTACGGTCAGACAGAGTGCACTGCGCCTGTCACTCTAACAGTTCAGGGAGATCACGTGCCTGAACATGTTGGGCCTCCCGTCGCTTGTTGTAAAGTGAAGGTAAATGATGTTTTGAATAACAGAAAAATTATTATACGTATAGCGTACTAATTTAAAAGCTATTAATAAAAGAGCAACAGATCATACATACATATAGGTCTAATAAATCTTTAAAGACTCCCATTGTAAAAAATAGTAAGATGAAATAATTTCGTCACATAACTCCTAAAATCATTTGGTCTAATAAATTGTACTCAATGTTTTATTAATCACATTTTTTAATATTTTATAGTTGGTGGACGTCCCAGAAATGGAGTACTATGCGGCTCAAGGTCAAGGCGAGGTATGCGTGCAGGGTGCCAATGTGTTTAAAGGTTACTTCAAGGAGCCAGAGAAGACCAGACAGGTCATTGACCAGGATGGATGGCATCATACTGGAGATGTCGGCAAGTGGATGCCGGTAGGTTAAAAATATTTGCATCAAAAGAATGTTGTGGTAAGGTTGATATTATCATGCGGGTTCTTAATATTAATATAAGAAAATGAGTAACTATGTATGTACATATGTATCATGAATTTTTCTTATATAAGATTTACATATGTATAGACCAGTGCCGATAGCTTTTAAAACATAATTAAATTATAGCAGAATAAAACTAATTAGAAAAGGAGGATAATATTATAAAATTTAAAGGAAAATAACATAATCATGTCCCTTTTAATGAAATGACACTCGATATCATTTGGGAAATGTTTTTTTAATAGTTTTAGCAGCTTAATGTCAATTTTCTGTAAATTACCTAAAAGAGGGACTATCTGGAGAACTTCCAGAGTACACAACTATTAAAAATAAATTAGAAAGAGCATTTTCAAAACGATGTCGAGTGTCATTTCATTAAAAGGGACATGATTATTTTATCCAAAAATGGTACTTCAAGTAAGAAACTAGTATTTTTTTCTTCACCATCGGAAAATAGAGATTTCAATGAACAGGAAACACACCAAATTTTTGAAAAATGCTGATATTTTGACGGGTGATTTTTAGAATGAAAATGAGGCTGATTTTTCGATATTTATTCAAAATAAGCTGAAAAAATAAATATTTCTAATCAAATAAATTACAGTGCATTTTTAACATCAAAAGAAAAGTTTTCACCAAATTTTGTGAAAAAATATTGTTTTTTGTAAGAGATAAAAATAAAAAACCAAAAACTTGGTTTTTCGAATTTTTTATCATAAATTTTGAGGTTATGTGAAAAAAATGTTAGTACAAAAGTTTTAGATCATTTTATTACCTACAACTTTGCGCTATAACATTTTTCCGTAGGCCTTTTAGTTTTGTCGGAAATCGAGAAAACCCATTTTTTACCCTTAAATACTCATCCCGACCCCAGATCGCCCGTAAATTATTTTTCCTTTAATTTTTACTATAATATTATCCTCCTTTTCTAATTACGTAGTTTCATTCTAGTATAATTTATTTTCACTTTTCATTAATTTTAAAGGCTTCTGCACTGGCCTAATAGCTGTGATCCTATAGAAAATATTATAAAAACATTACAAAATATAAGAGGTGAATTTTTCATCGTTAACTGTGATGTTAATGTGATCTTAATATATCTCAAGTTTCTCTACTTCAGAGTATTTGTGATTCTAATTCTGGTTTGACTTTATTAATATTATTCTTTTACATTTCTTTATTGCAGAATGGAACTTTAAAAATTATCGACAGAAGAAAACACATCTTTAAACTATCTCAAGGAGAATATATTGTGCCAGAAAAGATTGAAAACATTTACATTCGAAGTCAGTACGTCGAACAAGTCTTCGTGCATGGTGAATCATTAAAGGTAAAATGTCTTACATTTCGATATTTAAGTTAGTTTTGCTTAATATCAAGTACTTAAATACATATAGCATATATAACGGGATACTATATTTATGAATATTCAAGACACGTGAATTATTTGAATTTGAATATGTAAGCTTTATAGAATAAATTTCAATTTCTTTACAGTCATGCGTAGTGGGTATAGTTGTGCCTGATGTGGATGTAGTGAAATGCTGGGCGCTTGAGAACGGTATAAAGGGTACATTCTCAGCTCTATGCGAGGACGAGCGTGTTAAGAGCATAATTCTCGAAGATATGCTACAGTGGGGACGCAACGCTGGCCTTAAAACTTTCGAGCAGGTATAGTCTTTTGTTTTATATGGCTAGGACGAAAGATGTTAAGTGTTAAGTAACCACAGTAACTGACATAATATCCATAAATCAATAAATCCAGTTCCTCTCACAATATTATTAAATAATTGTAATATAGCTGCAGATCATAATTATATTTATAAGTTAAACTAAGTATGTTTTTTTTTATTTTCAGGTCAAAGACATATATTTACACCCCGATCCATTCTCAGTTCAGAATGGTCTTTTGACCCCCACGATGAAAGCGAAACGACCCGAGATCAGAAACTATTTTAAACCACAAATCGACGATATGTACAAAAAACTCGAATAAAAGTATGTTACGAGCAAACGTTTGAAATTAGTTTTAAAGTGTTTTCTTTTCAACTAAGAACTGTTATGACAAAATTATGTCATGTATTATCATTGTATGATGCTAAATAAATATCTACTGCGTGAATGATATCTTTTTAGCAAAATATTTTATTATATAAATAAACAAACTCCCTAAGTAAAACCCCGAGAATTGTACTCGCAGTTATGAGTGTTTTTGTTCTACATATGCTGAAGTTTCCAAAATGAAACTTATATTTACCCACCCAGTGTTGGTTTTATATACCTATTCTTAAGATTTTTTTTATTTGTATAGTTTATTTGTACTGTCATTGTCGTGTGATAGTTATAATTAAAAACAAATGTCCAAAAATACAACAGAAGTACTTTATAAAAGCTTTGAACATTTCTAAAAATCTATATAAAATATTTTTTAAATCATTCTAATCATATAACACTGATTTTAAATCATTTTACATTAAACCCAGTCCCTAATAAGAGGTTTTGAAAAATGATTTATATTTTAATACCGTGCAAGTAATACTTATCTAATTAAAATATGTTAATTAAAACACAAATTGTACCTTATTATAGGCATAGATGCATTGTACTCTTAGATCATAGCATCTATTTACTATGGCAATAATGAAACAATTGTTTCAGAAGTCAATTATTAAATCAATTGTATGTGTATCTTTTTTATCAAGTTTCTCTAAATTTTTTTTCTATTACAATAGAATCAGGTTAATAACATAGTATCGACCTTTGAGTTATTTAACAAGTATTAACAAGCTTGTTATTAAGATGGCGTGTCTCAAATAAATCCAGTTTTGTTTCGATATGATTTTATGTTTATGGTTGTTAGATTTACCTTTTTTGATATCACAATATCTTGATTCAAGTAGGTTATTGTTAGGACGTTATATTTGCCTCCGAAATTTTTCTTATTGTTTTATAACATACCTTTATCATAAAAACTACTATAGGCCGGTTTCATTATAATGTTCCTTTTAGATATTTGACATTAAACTTATTTAAAAAGGGAAAATATATACACAGCAATCACAGAATTTATCTAACACATTTTATTATGAAAATATATGTATTATATTTTATGCGGCTTATAAATTATTATACATTGTATGTAATGCATCAGCAGTTAGTGAAATATAGCCTCCACTTCGCTTTTCATACTAATCAGATATTTTTTCTATATGCTCCTATTAGCTGTCACCATCTGTCGTATAAAAAAGTGTAAAAGTTGAAATATTGTTCAGAGGCTATTTTGAATTTTCTTTTTTAGTTTTAAAGCATTTCTTCGACGACGACCTGATTTTTTTAATAAATGCCAAAAAAAGCTAAAGTAGTGTTTGTGTTTTTTTAAATATTCACTTAATGAATGCTTCGTGAAGTATTTAGAATTAAATTCAGTTGAAATATTTTCCTATTATTGAGTGATGAAAAGTGAGAATGAATCTCTTATTGTTTGTATGTTTGCATATTTTGCATAACTTTTAGATAATTAATTCTACGGTCCACTGAGCTTGGTGTATGTTTTATGGATTTCGCTTGTATCTTTTGTCTCAATACGTGAACCTATTGTACTTAGTTTGACGTTATACTAGAAACTAGTGGACTATAGTTGTTAACTGCTACATTCAACAATTTTATAAAGTTAATATCTTCTTTATACTTTGATACTCTTGATTCAAAAGAAAAAGATATGGATAAATTCCTGTCTTAGAAAATACTAAGTTTGTATTTTGTATCAGTTGATGTTAACTTTATAAACTGTTTTATGGAAAGCGTAATCGTAAGTTAAATACCGCACCTGTAGATATATTAAGTTAAGATTACTGCTTTGAGCAAACGTTATGGTTTCATGTTCGAACCACAATTTTGTTGTTATTGGTGCAAGTCGTACTACAATAATTTATTTTTAAATAAAAAATAATACTATGTCAGTTGTTTTATTTGTAAATTAATTCTCTAAATGTATAGTTTCTTTTGTGAACTAAAGTTTTATATTTGCTAATGTAGAAGACGAAAGTCGCTTGTATTTTAAACACAAATGTGTTTCTTAGGTATTAAATTAAATACTCTTAGGTTTTAAAGTCGCTAAATATCAATTTTTCTCCGTCAAACCAGTTGACCGATGATATTAAACTCGTGAAACATTTGAAATTCGATGAATAATCTGTATGAAGATAATATTGATAAGTGTCTTGTGACACGGACTGCGGCAGTGACGTCCCTTTAGGAAACCTGAATGGTTGCGCAAAAATGTATTTATTGAAAAGATTATGCTATAAAAATGTTAAACAATGGATCATACATCTGGCCTCAAGTTTGACTATTTTACAAGTACTTCTCAGGTTGAGAAAATGTAGGAGTAAAATTAAAACTTTAATTTATTGTGCCCGGCATTACGCTTTGGTTAACAAGGGCTTGTAATAAAACACTTAAAATTAAATTTATTTTATCATAAAACATTATGGATTTTTTAGTGGCAACAATTTTTATGTTTGTGTTTTGCATTTTTAGTTTAATTAAATATATTTTTAATATATTTATATTATTTAACATTCAAAGTATCCAAAAATTACCGAGTGTTTAAAAAATAATAAATTATGTAAATACAAAATTTAAACAATCGGCAAAAACGTCAACTCCTGAAGTTTTATATATAAATGTTTATAATTAATTTTAAGTAAATAGTATTTGACTGTCATATTTCCTGTTTGAAGGTGAAAATGGATCCGAAGTACGTGAACGCAATCTCAATAACAAACTAGTCAGTCTAGCCTTAAAGACACTCAAATTATAATTGGAAGGAAACTGTTTATATTTCGACAAACATAAATAATAGTAAAAATATATTTTTCGCGCCAAGGGGCTCGTCATATGAAGGTGAAACTTCACTTGCCGTTTATTTATTGTGTTCCGCCAAACAAGACCATGTGTGGAGGATTTATTCGTCTTCATATGACATATTTGCACATATGAGACATACAAATAAACGAAAATGCGTAAAGACGTGTTGTTAGCATGCCAAGTGTGGATGTCGTGTTTGCGGTATTTGGACTTCGTACAAATACGGCGAATACGCTTCAAGAATACGCAACGCCAAGTGAAGTACCACCTTTAAAAACAGTCCTTTTACCCCTCTTAAACACACAGTTTTTCTCGATCTCAAATACAATTCTTTCCCTGAGAAGGAATTTCTGACTTGAACCCTTTTGACTACCCTCCATTTGTACTCGGATTACCGTTTGGTGTCAAGTCATATTCTTCATTCAGATTGAGATTGATATTCTCATAGCTGGCGAGAGGCAATAAACGAAACAGTAAATTTGCCTTCCAAAAAAGTGGCTCTATGTAAGGTCAAGGATCAAACAGTCAAGTTTACCAGTAAACGTAGGGAAAAATCGTCTTTGCGAAATTACAGTACTCATCAACAGTTTTCTGGAGTTTATTACGGGTAATCATATATTCCCCACTGTATGAAGGCGGTATTTATAACAGATGATATACTTATATCGAGTTGAAACTCAAGTAAGTATTTGAGTTGTTTCCGGAGATATCTCACTACTTCTGGCATTTGTCAAGAAGGAAAGCGAAAGGGAACATTTTAATGTAAATTAAATAATACAAAACATATTATAAAAATAAGGAAATCACATTTAGTTTACTGGAAAAATATTTTCAAAATGTCAAACAAAATTATTAACAAACTTGTAAAATTCTATCTTACTCACTGAATATTAAAAATAAAATATCGACTTAACGACCATAAAAATAACTGCCAACAATTATATACAAATAAACAGAATTGATATTTTTTTACTTTGATGTAAATCACATTAAATAAAGTTTGTCATGAATAAATTTCATACAAGTTATAAGTAGGTTACGTAAAATTTTCTAATATTATGTATAAGATTTATGAGTAAAAAAATATTTTATATATAGAATATTTTTGTTATATTTGTTTTTACTCCAGGATTAATTATCCTCGTTGTCATTTGTCAGCATCAGTTGTCAAGAGAATCAATAAGAAGTCAATAATGCTTCTTTACGTTTTTAAAGACTGACTTAAAAGATCTGTTCACACAAATTTGAACTGTGGAATTGTGGATAAAAAGCTACTACACATTTCTTTATATGCAAATAGTATGATCATTGAATAACTTTTTTGTGTGGGCTAGTACGTTGCTCGTACGCCGGCTAGCTTGGCTAAGTCATTGACACCAAGCGACGTCTTAAGAAATTAATGTATTGACACTGTCACATTTGGGTTTCGCGCAATGAGAATATCGAAAGCCCTAACCGCTTCCTATACAGTCTTCCACCATAATTCTTTCGGATATTGCTATACCGCCAAAGAAATACACGAGGAACAAACTCTTTTGGTATACATGGGCGGTAATAAAAACATATAATGCAGATAATTATTTAATAATAATTCACTGAGGTAACAACTCCAAAGCCAATAAAAGTTACAATAAGTTCAGATTACTTGCAATTAGAAGCTTGGTTAAATCATAACGTAATTAGAAGTACTCTATTAAAAGATAATTTTATTTCAAAGAGAAGTTCTACTTTACGCTTCGAAGTACTTGTTAAAGAAAACGTTTTATACTAGAATAAGTGTCAAATTGAAACTAAGTTTTTCGTGCTTAAGCCATTTTGATATTTTTATATTAACCTAGTCTCACCGTTTCGGTTTCTTTCCAGCAACCGCCATTGACGGCAAACGAGATGAAAATATTTGTCTTGTTTAATGATAATTTATTTTATTAATTAATTATAACTTTTGAAATACGTCTATTTTATGTCCAATATGGCGAAATATGAAACTGAAGAAATTTTTAAAAACTATTCTAATCTTTAGCTAATTTTGATGTAATTATTCCTGAGCTCTCACTGCCAGATAAATCCGTCTAGTTATTTAACACCTTTATATTTTCGTGAGACTAGATTTCATTCTAGACTACTCCT